CTAGGTGGAGTAGTCAAACACAGATCCACTGATCCTTCAACACAGAGCATCTTCAGAAGAAAAGTTGATAAAATAAATTTAAAAACTCTGTATTGTTCGATAAAAGTGTGTATTGAACCTAAAGCACTGTGTTGAACGGTTCGATACGGGTACATGTATTGTTGCACTCTTATGTATAACATAATGTATATGTATGATTTTCAATATATTGTGCAGCCCTAATATATATAGTAATCTTGTAAGGCTGGAAACTTCCCTTATATCAAGAAGTGCCATTGTCTTTTTCCACTGGCAGATTATTTAATTTAATTTGAGTCTGAAGTGAAATAATCAAACAAGTTTAAAAATACTTTTTGGCAGGATGTAAGATCGTAAAACTGGTGGACAGTTTTTGCAGTGCATACCTCACAGATGTTTCAGAAGATCAGAAACCTCACTTTCATTACAGCTCTGAGTCTTTTGCATGTTGCAGTTCATGCAAAAGTACATTTAGGAACCGTTTTGTTTAAGACAAGATGTAACCCAAGGACTTTCAAATTAAACCAGCAGTTAAGCCCTCAGCAGCTGAAACACACAGAGGTGAGAGAATAAAGCAGTTGTCAGAAGCAGCACAGTTGTCAGTTGCATGCTTCAGCGAAGGGGCTGAGCTGAAATGTGAGCCGAGCCTTGTTTGGGCTGCTTTTTGGCAGCTCCAGAACTCGGCCTACTGACTCAGGACATTGTTACATTCGAACCTCCTCTTCCCGGGCTTTATGATGCAACTCGATGCAACACGTTTCACTCAGTGGACAAGTCATATCCTGTTTCCTGAGCTGCGGAGACTCAATACACCACAAACAACTATGACGAAGCAAGGAAGCAAAAACTAAAAAATAAATCAAATTCAGAAAGAGACTTTGAAAATCAGGCAGTGAAGGAAGAAACACAAGAGAAAAATAGATCCTCAGGATGATAAATGATGCAAACAGACAAGATTCAGACTTAAATGAACTAAAGGGAGGTGACAGAGCTGGGTTTCAGTAAAATTTAAAGGAGACTGACAGACAAGCACTAACACTGGAAGTGAAGAGATGCTCATTTTAAAACCATTAGAGAGGAGCCCAAACTTATCTTCATGACAGGAAACTGATCTAAAACACTCATTTTGACTTAGAAAATCTATTTTCATTGACAAGGAGAATAAAAAGTTCTGGTTTGGGCCCCACAGAACATTCACAGTGCCAAGGCACTAGTGTTCAACTAAAGGACCACGGGCAAAACGTGGCCTGCTCGTGACTTCTGTCCGGCCCATCATTTTGTTTTTTTAAGAAAATAGTTTTGAAATCAATGATAAACTTTAAATTTATAATATAATTCAACAAAATAAACACATTTAAAGGGTGAAATATAATAATTGTCCTGCCCCTGAGCTGTTGGTTCGTAGTATCTGTGGCCTCCTGAGCAATTTAGTTGGATAGTTGTCTAATAATGTCTTAAAATAAGCTGCTTTACAACCAGCACTGTCCATACATATCCTATCATGCAGAGGTTCTCAAACTAGGGTCCCTGGACCCCCAGGGGTCCGTGAGAGGTATCTTGGGGGTCCTCAAAAAATTTTTACTAAAATTTTAATTTGTTTTTTTGTTTTTAAAAATACATGGAGAACAACAAACTAATAAAACAAACATAATAAACTTAATAAAATACATATTCCCATGGCATTTAGGGGTTGAAATGACCATAAATTATCTTTTAAAAACAGCACGGGGTTTATAAGGAGGTCCCTAGAATATTTTTCGCCCTTGTAAGGGGTCCCCAGACCCAAATGGCTTGAGAACCCCTGCTATAATGCATGGGATATGTATTGACAGATGAGAAATCCCTGTTGGTAAGTGGGCGTGTTCACAATTCAAGATGGCGTCTACCTACCACAACTCAACAGTGAGCAAAACTTTCTTCTTTTTTTTAACTTTTCATAGTATTTTTGTATTATTTATTTCACTTTCAGTCAGTCGTACATTGGTGTTTCTAAGAGGACGCATTAAAACGCTGTTTCTATGCAGGAAATACCAGGTAGAGCTCAGTTATTGTTTAGTCAAAGTTAATTACAACTGGTCCTTTGAGGGCCACCGTAGCATCATCCTAAATCCACTCAGTGGTGCTTTATGTCACTGACACAGAGGAAGTCTTTCATTCTAAATTTAAAAATGTTTAAACATCTTAATCAGATATCCAGCAATGAGGCAAAACTAAAGGATAAGTAACTATATTGGAGTGAAAAGGGTTGGATAATCTCTAAGATCCCACTAAAAGCACACACATTTTGTTGCCTTGTGGTTGTGTGTGTATCTAGTAAAGCAGAGTCACTCACCATGACCACAGAAGGGTGGGCTGGAAGCTGCTTGGCGGCGTCCGAGGAGGAGTTGGGGACGACGCCGTGCAGCTCCTCGTCGCTCAGCTCCTCGGTGCCGTCCGAGAGGCCCTYCGCCTCGCTGACGGTCAGCAGCATGGTGGCGTGCTTGGCCTTCACCGTCAGCATCTTACACTTGGAGTGGAGCGAGGCGATCTTCTCCTGGTAGCCACGGATCTTCTGGGTCAGCTCCTGTCAAAACATCAGCCCCCCCCCCACCACCACACAGAGAGAGTCAACACTCGGCGTCAGCAGAGTGGGGTCCAGGTCCAGCTGATCCACAGCTCCTTAGAAGATAAACAGAGGCTGAGTCGGCTCAGCGGTGAATRTTGCGCCCGTGTGAGGGGGATAAATGGAGCGGACACATTCTCCTCTCTCGCCGGTCCCTCGCAGTGCGAAAGTGTACAAAGAGAAAAGCAGTGCCTGACTCCGTTTTCACCCCCCTCTCTGTACCTCTGAGCCAATCAGAGGAGTCTGACTCTGCGAGGCAGGATGTTTGCTTGAGACCCTCACAGAAATACTTCAAAATCCCTCAGACACTCCCTCTTGTACACATATACAGACGGCAGGAGGAAACAGGAAGTGATCTCACCGCTTGTTTCCCCGCCCTCCTCTTTCCATCTTCCCGTTTTTTAACAAAGAGCACAAGAAGGGAGCCGAGACTGACAGAGCTGGTGTCAAATTACAGCCCAGCAAACTGGACCCACCTCCTCCACCTCCCTCCTCCCTTCTTCACCCCCTCTGTCCCACAGATGGTCAAATGCGCTGATAATCAGGTCACGTGACTCAAAGGAGCTCAGCTGACAGATCAAACCTTGAACTAAAAAAATAAAATAAAACAACAGTCAAACGTCGGGGCTGAACACAAATCTGCAGCCAAGGTTAAAATGCAGAATTGTGAAGTAACTAAGTACAAATACTTCTTTACTATACTTAAGTAGAATTTTTGGGTATCTGTACTTTACTAGAGTAATTAATTTTCAGCCTACTTTTTACTTCTACTTGTTACATTTTCACACAATTATCTCTACTTTCTACTCCTTACATTTACAAAAAGGCAAGAAGTACAAAGTTGTTACTTTAATTTAATTTTTGCTTGTTTTCATTCCAGCCTGTAAAAAATAAATACTATCAATATAAATTGTGCCTCCTAGATAGAGTGAATTTAACTGTGGTTGAATGAGAATAAAACTCTGATACTGTATTAGTTTGTACACAAACAAATCATGTCACACTGCAGCAGGACATAATCATTAAAATAAAAGGACTGTACTTAAGAAGTATTTGTATTTCATGAATTATATTATTACACGTGGCCTCAGTCCTCAGATAGATTTTTATTTTAGAGAAAAGCTTTGTGCAGCCTTGATATATGTAWATAAACTGAAACAGCTGGACTAGTGCATCTTAAATTTAACGTAAATTAATTATTTTAAAACGATATAGTCATTTCTGCATTTTTGTGGAGGTCACCTCTTAATAAATGTTTTTATAGAAAATGTAACTGCTCATTTTAAATCAATACTTTGACTTTTAATACTTAAGTACAAAAAATATCAGATACTTTTTTCCTTTTACTCAAGTAATATTTCTAAAGGTGACTTTAACTTTTACTAAAGTAATGTTTTGTTAAGATACGTGTACTTTGACTCAAGTATCACTTTGTGCTACTTTATACAACACTGATAAAATGCCATAAAAAAGTGAGATTTGATCTGTCGGACTGCAGGTCTCCGTCTCAACCCCACCTCCCTCGTGCACAYGCGAGATCAAAACACACCCACTCAGCAACACAAAACACAAAGCTATGCAGACGGTGTCATCTACCTCTGCAGACATGGAGCATCAGATAGAGGAGGAATGTTGACGTATTCTCTTTGTGTGACGCAACTGCAGTGACTACATTTAGAAAAAAAAAACAAATAACTAAATAGTCTGACTCACAAGCGAGGATTAGGCTAATATAGTTCTTTAGCCACAACTTCTCTTTTTTTTTTGTACAGTATAAGAAATAACAGGAAGCACACATTATGACTCGAGCTGTGTGGTTTATTTCTACACTTAGTTTTTGCTCTACAATGACAGAACTGTTCAAAATTAAAGACAGTGCATCAAATATATGACCCTTTAAGAAGCTTTTCTTTCTACAGTCTCTGGTAATCACACTTATTCTGTATATTTTTTAGAATACGTTATTACATTTCCTGCTAATAAGCAATAACTTTTAAAAAAAATCTTTTGATTCACTTTGACAAAGTTCACATTTTTCAGTCTTTGTTTAAATGTGAAATCATTGATTTAATTTTTTTTAAACTGCCTGGTCTTTTTTGTGTATTCTTGGTTAAATAATAAAAAAGAAAAAAAAAGTGTAAAAAGAGAGAAGGGGAAAGGAACGATCTTTTGTTTTACCCCAAAATGTTCTGAGTTATGTATGTTATGTATTCTTTTGAAAATTGATTCTTTTGATTGTTCTTGTTTTTGTTTTTATTGAAATGTAAATTGGGAAAAAAAGTAATAAAATAAATAAATAAATCATTGATTGTTTGGATAAAAAAATCAGTAAAATATATCATATAGGGGACACAAACAGTGATATTTGAGCAGTGAAATGATGCTTATATGATTTACAGAAAGTGTGCAATAATTGCTTAAACAAAATTAGGCAGGTGCATAAATTTGGGCACTGTTGTCATTTTATTGATTGCATGTTGTTTTCAGCAATAACACTTAAACATACATATATGACATCGTACGTTTTTAAATCGGTTTAAAGTTACCTAAAGACAAGCAGAGACTTGCAGCTGTGTACTTAACCAGTTAATTTCTAGTGTGTTAGAGCAAATGATGTCATTTTATTGGTGGAAACCAAGTGCAAAACAACAGTAAAATAAAATGTTTGGCAAATTGCTCATGTGCGCAACCCACACACTCAGCTCTACTGCTCATCCCACAAATGCATGTTCCTTACAAATGATGAACCATTTAAAAATGGAAATAAACAGGCTTTCAGCCGTTACCTCATGATGGTGAATCTGAGCCTGAAGTTCCTGAATGTTGTTGGTGGAGACGGGCCGGTCCTGGATGATGCGGTGAGCATCTTCTATTAACCTCTGGAGGTTCTTCACTTCCTGTTCGTACTGCTCATACTGCACCACGGCCTCCTGACAAAGAGGAAACACTTACTCAGTAATTTGTGATTTACATCGTTCTTTTTAGGGAAAATATTACAAAACGTTGCAGCTTATCTCAAACCCTGACGGCAGATAAAGTAGTCGTGGTTTCAGCTTCTATTAAACCTAATGTGTTTGATTTGAAACAGAAAACAGACACTTCGGGCACGTGTCCATACGTCTGTCTCTGGAAGAGCTTCCACTTCTGAACCACCACTATAATTAACTTCACCAGCCCAGAACCAAGGGATGGAGGAGAAATGCCACTTTGATGAGGGTTAAACGAAAACACATTCCTGAGGAGGGCTGTTCAGACACTACAGAGTGAAATTCAGGTTTTAAAGTCTCCACTTCATCACAAGCACCTTAGTTATAAATATAAACCATATAAATGTTTTTTAGATAAGTCAAAAACACCAGTCCTAATGTGAAGACTGTCCTCTACCTGCAGGATGTTGCACTGCTGGATGGTGGTGTGCTGCAGCTGACTGGCCTCCTGCTGCAGACTCTGAGCTGTGCGGCAGATCGGCAGACTGGCCACTACCTCCTCCGGCAGCCGGAGGGCGCTCTGACACAGCTGCACCGCCGCCACCTGCTGTTTGAAGCTCTCCATCTCCACCAGCAGACGCTTTTAGATGGASATCAGAGAGAGAATTAAAGGGAGGCAGGGTTTATTTACCTGTTTGTACAGAGTAATAACTGGAATAAGCACCTGTCTCTGTGTGAGCTGCTCCCTGAGGCTGAGCTTGTTGAGGTCGGGGGAAGCAAGGCAAACCTGGATCTGATCAACAGCAGCGTGCAGGCTCTTCACCTCGGCCTCTAGACGCAACAAGTCCTAAAGGCAAAAACAGACATAACAAATGTAGGGTTTTGATTTAAACGTGCAAAAATTGCATTTTGTCAAAATATATTGAATAAATGCCTTATCAATGTATCATTTGAATGGACTGTCTGAAATATAATCCTAAATTTTTTTTTAAACACTTTTGTTTTTTTAGCATTAGTAACAAAAAAAATGATTTTGAGGAAAAACGCCTTAAAATTTTGAGATTTTCTGTCAGCTAACAAAGTTTTTGGTTATCTGCAGCTGGGCAATTTCAGCATTCAAACACAATATGAGTTTTCCTCTTTATATTAACATCAAAAACTCCTAATTAAAATGACAAAAAAATAGGATTCAGACCAAATAATAATGTATCATCGTAACCAACAAGACAAATTAAGGCATATCTCTAGATCCACTTATGATATCAGAATGACCCAGGTGTCAAAATGTATCGTTTAAAGCCAGGAATCTGAAAATGTGATTAAGTCATTTTGGTCAAATTTGACTTAATCCTCATTTYGATATGATGGGTCACATATTTCATCCTTTTCAGTCTGACACATAAAATTACAAGTTTTCACCATATTAACTCCCACAGGCTCAAATGCATTTTGTGGAACAAAAACTAAATTACAAAGAAGTAGATTCAAATCGTTGCGCAGTCTAGATCGAGACAAATAGGAAAATAATCCAATTCATGGACTCTCAATGTCATTAAAAACAATTGGCTACTGATTATAATTTGGATACCAGTTCATAATTTTTAAATGAGCGTGACCGATTAATGCTGAAAATCAATTCTGATGATGTAATAATCGTATTGGCCACAAGGGGTCACTGTTGACTAAAATCTGAACAAGTTGATGCTAAAGTGTTTGGATTTAAAAAAAAAAAAAAAAAAACAATTTATTGTACATTTTGCTACAACTGAAAAAATTTTGGGTGATAATTTCTCATCTAAAAATCTCTGTTTTTGACTGAAAGTGCTGTTTACTTTAGCTGCATCCTGCAGATTCTGGAGGCGGCCCTTGGCGGACTGTTGCAGCTCCTCGGTGCGTCTGCTGAGGTGTTTCACCTGCTGGCTCCATCCCTCCGTCTGCAACAGATCCGCCAGCTGCCCCTCCCGCTCCCCCATGGCCTCCAAGTCACCATGGAGACCGCGGCACTCCCTCAGCAACGCCTGTCACCGTAAGACCATAAATTACAAGTCAGAGAGGAGGATTTTCTGCAAGGCAATTWTACTAATTAAGGTCAGTCAACGCCGAAACATTTCACTGGAAATCAGAAACCAATTAGCTGCAGATATGAGCCGTATCTTCAGATTTAATAGGGTAATTATGAAAGAATAGTATCAGTTTCTGTGGAAAATAACGCAAACATAATAAACACAAGTTTAAGCCCCGTTTAAAGCAATTCACACTCTTTAAATGAAAGTGAATAACTCACTTGATGTGCTCGAATTTGCTCCTGCAGCTGGGAGGCAGAGCTCCAGACGATGTTACTGGTGATCAGAGCCTCAGCTTTTTCTATCCAGCTCAAAATAAAGGCCTTCATGCTGTGATACTCCTCCACCTGCCTCTCAGCCTGCTCAGTGGTGACACAAAACAGGCAAAATCAAAGAAAACTAAAGATTTAGCATTTTCTGTGAAAATGCAGCGTGAATGCTGATAAATTTTAAAGAAAAAAAATTGTGATTTGTTGTAAAATAGCCAAAAATGCTTAAATTAGCAGAAAAGTAGCTGAAAAAGCTGATATAAAGAAAGGAAATAAGAGCAGACATTTGCTGAATTAAGCAGTAAAAAGCTGAAATTTCCACAAAAAGTTGAATTTAGCAGAAAAATAGCTAAAATTGCAGAAAACGACTGAAATTAGCAGAAAGAAGTTGATAGAAGTACAAAAAAGTTTAAATAAACAGAAGAACAGCAGAAAATAGAAAGAGAGCTGAGAAAGCTAAAATTAGCAAGAAGAAAAGCTAAAGTTAGCACAGAAAAGTAAAAAAAAAAAAAAAAAAACAGAACCAGAACAAAAGGTGAAAAGTGCAGTAAAGATTTATAAATATTTTGAAGGATTTTAAGGATGTTGAAGACAGCTCCATTCATTTTCAATGAGAAGAAAATGGCAGAAAAACTAAATATTTCATTATAAACTGCTAAAACTACTAATAATTGTACCCAGAATATTATTAAGGAGCTGAAGGTGTATGTATGTATTGTTTGTATGTATGTATGTATGTATGTATGTATGTATGTATGTATGTATGTATGTATGTAT